CTCCCACTATGATTACCCTGTCAGTTTGTAATACCAAATCAGAAAGGAACTCTGAAAACTCATCTAAAAATTCAGAGTAAGGACCTGGTGGACGATACAAAGTTACAACAAGAAGAGGTTTTCTTGCTTTGCAATTTGGATCAGGGAAATTAAGGGTTAAATGTTCAAAGAGTTGTAGGTATTAACTGTTTTGGGAGTAATCAGTAAGTCAGACTGGAAGATTGTTGCTACTCCTCCTCCTCGCCCAGAACTTCTGGGGATGTGAAAATTTAAATAGCTTGAAGGAGTTGCCTCATTTATGCTCACACAATCCTCTTGCTGCAGCCAGGTTTCTGTAAGGCAACACAAGTCAATGTGATTATCACAAATCAAGTCATTAACTAGCAGACTTTTAGAGCAAAGAGATCTTATGTTAAACAGACCGCATTTAATCATTTTAACTTTTTCCCCAATTGGAGTTATTTTAATTTGATTATCATGATTTACTCGTTTGGGAATATTTGCTAATTTATTAGATTTTGGTCGTGGGCAAGACACTGTCTGGATGGAGTAAAAACTGGGTAACAGTAGAAAAGCTGCAGAGAGGTCTGTTAAACTACACCTCTGCTTCCTGGTCTGGTGGATGCCGTCTCTCCGAATCAGACCAGGCTTTCCCCAAAAGGATTGCCAATTATTAATGTAGCCCACGTTGTTTTCAGGACACCACCTAGACAACAAGCGGTTGAATGACGACATGCGGCTAAACATGTCATCACTGGTCAGATCAGGGAGGGGACCAGAGAAAATTACAGAGTCCGACATTATTTTGGCAAACTTACACACCGTGCAAAAAATAATTTTAGTGACCAATCAGATAACTACAACTCACTCTGAAATATTTTAAACCATCGAATGAACAATCAGTGAACTATTTATTTATTTTTTAAATCTCTGCATTTAATCCATCCCCTTGGGGAGCAGTGGGCTGCCATTGTGTGGGGCTAATGGTCTTGCTCAGGGACCTAGAGTGGTAGTCTGTGGTAGTGGGACTTCAACTCAGAACCTCTGGATTCCAAGTTCTATAACCACAAGACCACCGCTCCCCCTTAATGTTTTCTCTCTAATTACGTTTTTAATTTTTATTGCAATGTCGCTCCGTTGTGGTTGCCAGCCTATTGTTATGCTAGCAGGAAAGCCGTGATGCATTATGGGTAATTCTGGCACTGTGAGTCACACTTTGTAAAGCCCCACCTCCTGTGCTGTGATTGGTCAACGCTTCCTGTGATTCAGTCTGGTTGGCCAGGGTCAGTGAGTCGATGCAATCTGCTCCTTTTCCTCAAATAGAAATTTTTGAACCAATCTGACTGGATGATCTGGTTGATCTGGATCTAAAAGGTGTCCTGAGATGACATGATGTGAAATAATTTGAATTGGTAGCAGGGAGTAATTGGTCCTTGAATTTGAGGAAGTCGTACTAGAAAATCCTTGACAGTTCTTGAACTGGATATTGACGTTGAAGTGTGGGAACCCTGTATAAAAGTTTTCTGTGTCATGATTAAAAGTGTTTTCCCAAAATATTCTTCAAAACCTGATCCAGAACAGGGTTTTTGGGTTTTTTATGTCTAAAAGAACAATTCTCAAAACTCAGATCAGCAAAAACATAAAAGCCCCACAAGGTAATAAATATATATTTAAGAATAAACATGACTTGGATCAGAAAGTGGAAGATGAATTATAGAAACAACAGAGCCTGAAATACTTACCACTGCTCTTGGTGTGTGTTTGTCAGGCGGAAACATCCAGAAGCGTTCCCCCGAGGACTGCTTCACCATCCACCACTTTGAGAACAAGTTTGTGACGGAGACCCGAATCTGCAAGGCTTGATGGGAAACAGGGTGATGGCTGCAGAGGAACGGGGCGAGCCCCACTGATGGAGGACCAGGAGGAACGAGGGACCACCTTCCACAGGAAGCTATTTTTGTACAGATCCTTTAGCCTCTCCTGCTTGTGTTCAGTGAATTTATGTTACAGAGTCACTGCTGCTGTGTTTGTATTAACCTGCTTAGGTCATAGCTCCAGTATTCAGTGTTTCATTATTGATGTAGAAACTCAGAGAATCATCTATTCTGCTTAGATCTATTTTGTTGTGTTGCTTCCTGCAGACCAACCTAACTGCAGTTATCCTAGTAGAGATTCGAGGCATTGGCCGTTCTCCTCAGCATCCTACTCATTCTGAGAAAGCATCAGATTATGTCGTGTTTTATGTCACCATCATCTGTAGAGCAGCTTAACCAGCATGCTGCTATTTTGGTGGGGGCACTGCAGCTTGAGCACGTCAATCGCACGCTTGTGGTTTACATTTCTGAACACTATGACATTTGCTGCTCCAGGGGTTGGGGTGGGGGGCTATCCTGCTGTTTTATTTAGAGTAACTGTTGTTAAACTTCAGTATCTTCAGTTTTTGTGTTTGTGTAGAAACAATTATAGATGTTAGCTATAAAAAAGGGAAGAGGGAAACCAGAGGGGTGGAGCTAGAGGGGAAATGTTTGATTTATGAATTTGTTGGTGTAATTAACATAAACAAAAACAGATGTAATGCATTAGCATAGTTAATTGTGATATTTAAAGGTTTACATTTTAAAGATAAATTACAGTTATTTTTAAGTCCTGTGTGAATCATGTGACTAAAGACACAACAGATGGGAGGTCCTAAAATCTCTTTAGTTGCCATTTTCAAGAAAACAACTCGATATCGGCTGAAATTAAACTTTATGAGCTGCTTTTAGTTTGACCTTAACACATGAAAGAAAACAAGGAAGGCATTTTTCTAACAATTCAATTAAGATCATTAAGCTCGAGTTGGAAATCCCATCAGAAACAACAATCTGAAGAATATTTTTCTGAAACAGCTTTGTTGGGGTCAAAACGAAGCTGTTGCTGTAGATGACTCCACACAGAAAGACAATCAGTGGAGCTAAAGATGCTAATGCCTTTAAAGTCTAGAAAGAAACAAGCTGGTGTGAAACTACTGAAATTAACTTCATTGTAATGTGAAATAAACTTGCTTTTCTTAACCTACTTAGAGTGTAATGATTAAACAAAGTAAAATTTAAATGAATTTTAAAAGAGAACTTATTGAAATTTCATATTTTATTAAATGTGAACTCTGAGTTTGCTTAGCTGACTCAGCATTTTGCTTAGCTGAAAATGTTATGACTCTAAACGGTGAGGAGAAATGAAGAACATGGATTAGAAATAAACTGTTGGTCGGTTGGAACTTGAACACAGGTTGTTTCATCATCGTTGTGTTTTTGGAAGAGAACTCCAGGTTTTTATCGGCTTTCTAGAATCCTGATATCTGCCCCGGTGAGCCGCTGTGAATGATGCTGTCCCAGGAAACTTGATAATTCAAATGTGGAAGTAAATGTCACACAATCAGCTGAGTTTTACAGTTTATTATACACTGCTCACAATAATAAAGGGAAAACATAACAGAATATAAGATCAATTAAACTTATGTGAAATCAAACTGTCCTCTCAGGAAGCAACACTGACTGACAGTTTCATTTCTAATGAAATATGCAAATTATTGGCAGTTAGCAAGACTTAAGTCAATAAAGGAGTGGCTCTGCTCTCTGACGGATGTTTTAGTCACTTCTGAATGTTGGTGCTTTCACTCTCGCTGTAGCATGCGGCGGACTCTGCAACCTTAACAAGTAACTCAGGTAGTGCAGCTCCTCCAGGATGGCACATCAATGAGAGCTACGGCAAGAAGGTTTGCTGCGTGTCTCCATGTAGAGGCTGGAGGAGCTACCAGGAGACGTGGAGGAGGCTGTAGGAGACACAGCCCTCCATGTGCTCGGTAGGTATGAGCTCCTCAGACCCCTGGTGAGACCATCTGCTGGTTCCGTTGGACCTGGGTTCCTCCTAATGCAGGACAGTGCTGGACCTCATGCAGTGGACCATCCTCCTCCTCATCAGGAGCAGCCCAGGTGTTGTAGGGAGGTCATAGAGGCAGGAGGAGGCCACCAACACTCCAAAACCTGTTAGAAGGATATTACATCACAGCTGGATCAGCCTGGAGGGATTCTACACTTTCATCCAAATCCAGGCCTCCATTGGTTCATAGATTCATTTCCATTGATGATTTTTATGTGATTTTGCTGTCAGCACATTCAGCTTTGAACTGAGCAAAGAATTTAATGAGAATCTTTCATTCATTCAGATCTAGGATGCTTTATATTGGTGCTCCCTTTATTTTTTCTGAGGCGTGTTTTAGGATAGTATGTGCAATTTTTTTTTCACTCTGTGGTTTGAAGAAAATCCACAATTATTTTCACCTCATTCTTTTAAAATGTCAGGCTTTTTTTGTAGGTAGGTCGTCAAAGGACAAAAACCAAAGACATCGAAGCATCATTGCATGGCAATGAAGCAAAAATTGTACAAACATCCACATTTCCCGTTAAAGGTAAAAACAAAAGCAACTTGTTAGATGTTCGATTTGCAGAAATCAAGTGGAATTTCTGAGCTTCATCTTATTCAAATTCTGTTTTTAAAAAATCACTTTATAAAACAAATTTATTATCAATCTATTAATCAGAAAAGTAGTAAGAATAAATGCATCCAAAAAGACTTTATCAATCATTGCAGTTCTGTTAGCCTTGGAAAGAGTTTTTTTTACATGTTTAATAAGCATCTCTTTTTAGATCAATCAAAAAAATAATCTATAGATTGATTATCTAAAATAAAAAATAGTTGCAGTCCCTACTAGATTTAAAGCAGAATGGGATCTGAATGATAATTTAAATCTTTACCTAGGATTTGTCTCTATTAATCTAGTTTGTGGATTCTTTGTTTTGCTCAGTCTACTCCTAAAACGATCTCAACATAAGTAGATTTAAATCAACTTTGAGGATGACTTCATTATTGAAGAGGTTTATCATTTCCACTCGACCCCCTGGACCTTTAGATCCACCCGTCTCTGAAAGCTGATGGAGGAGAGTAACAGGAGAAACCAAATTAAAAGTAAAACACATTTTTATTTCATATAAATAGGGCAATAGTTTCACATCTAGTTCATATAGTTTTTCCCGTTTATTTAAAATTCACATTTTCATCAGTGGAATTCACAGAATGTGTTTGGCAGGTTAATGCCTCCTCAGGGCCAGCAGGAGCAGTCTACTCATCTTCTGCATCCTCTCCTCCAGTTAAGCAGGAAAGACGCCTGTTAAAAGTTAAGGTGTCCGGCATCTCCGGCCTGCTTAGGCGCCTCCTGAACTCATCACTTGTAAAGTAGTACATGAGTGGGTCCAGGCTGCAGTTCAGGCTGGCCAGGCAGAGTGTTATTATATGAGACCTCTGAATCTGATTTCTGAGGGAGCAGTCTTTGAAAATGTTTGCTTTTACCAGGAAGTCCAGCGGCATAGTGATGTGGTAAGGTGCAAAGCACAGCAGAAAGACTACCGCACAGCACAGAACCATCTTCAAGGCCCTCCGTTTTTCTCCACAGTCTGGAACACATTCTGCTGTCGTCTTCCGGAGGCTCAAGGCTGTCAAAACGGCACAAGCCAAAACCACAATAAGGGGGATGATGAACCCCAGCAGCTCTGCTAATATCAACAGGATGCAGACTAGTTCATAACCAATGGGTCTCATGGGCAACTCTGAGAAACACTTATCATTGGGTTTGTCTGGTTTATAGTCTCTGAGCACAGGGAAAGCCAGGCAGGCTAAGCAGATGGTTACCCAACCAACAATACATTTCAACAGGTCTCCTTTTTGCTTTGATGAGTTGTACTTCAGTGGGTCCACGATGAGCTGGCAGCGGCGCACACTGATCCACACTAGGAAGTAGATGGAGGCATACATATTGACATACTTGAGATAGAAGCAGATCATGCAGAGAGGATAGCCAAAGGGCCAGGAGTCATTCAGATAGTAGTAGATCCGCAGAGGCAGGGACAGCACCTGGGAAGAGACATGGATCTTAGAAGCAGCCAGCAGAGGGAGAACACACTGATTCATTAACTGGCTTTAGGGGCTGTGGGACCTGTCCAGTTTTAGGAAAACTCCCTTTGGCTAATTCTCTTTAAAGAACACAGATCAAGAAAAAAATGTAGAGACTCAACATACAAAGACCTGATAGGGAGGCCTTCCACTTCTCTGCCTCTCTGTGTGAGTCCATGTTTTTATTACCTTTTGAGGACGATTTCCCGGGAAGATGCTATACTTTGGGGATTTATAGGTACTAGTGGGAAACAACGACTGGTTCCCATGAGGAAAGTTTCTCTTCTTGGGGTGGGACTTAGGTACAGAACTAAGGTGTGAATTGAGTTTAGGTTAGGGTTAAGGTTAGGTAGGTGTTGGTAATGGTTAGCGTAGGGGTCTGGGTTAGGCCATGGAGATCAGTGGGAAATAAATGGAAGTCAATGGAACCGCAATAAATGGAAGGTCCCCAGAAAGACAGTGACATAAGTGTGTGTGTGGACCTGTCTAGGAGTCAGAGTGAGGACCAGTTGTTATAAATTAGGACAGTAAGCTGGTCCTCACAAGGTGTTTTACTAATGATTAGATTTAGGGCTAGGGTGTGTATTAGTGACGTTAGGGTTAGTTTTAGGGTCAGGTTAAACAAAGGGTTGAAAGTTACTAAAAATGACTGGAATCATTGGAAGTCAACACATGGTCCTCACTACATATAGCGAGATGAGTGTGTCTGTGTTTTTGTCTTTCCTTTTAGACTCACAAACATCAGCTGAGTAACAAAAATAAGAACACCACATACAGTAGCATTAGGGTTAGGATACATTTTATCAAACTAGATTAGCTAATTTTGAAGCAAACATATTTAAAAAGATTTTATTACAAAAATCAGAGGGGTGGCATACTTTTGTATTCAGTGCTCAATAAACACAGCATGTTTTCATTAACGGCAAGACAAATGTTCACATTTTCAAATAAGAATGTACCGGGTGACTCTGCCAAAGCATCACAACCAAACAGCTAAAAAGCACAATGGACATGTACAGACATCTCATGAGACATCAGTGGTGGAGCGTCACATTCAGGTTAATGAGGTGGGTGGGGCTACATCATAATTTCAAGAATGATGCCACTCATGTACAAACTAACAGATTTTCTTTCACTCTGGAACCTGGTTTTCAAAATTATTATTTTTTTTATTTCCTGGAAAAACAGGCCAAGCTCCAACATCTAGAAACAAAGGTGTTGATGGCAGCAGCACAGCTGATATTTCTCTCCAGGATGGAGTCACAGCCAAACAGGAACAGACCAGATGAAGCTACTATGAGAAAAAGCAGAGAGAGCAGAACGTTAGAGATTGAACTAACAGATTCTGCAGAGTGGGAGAATAGAGATAGAATGAAGCAGAATGATGAAAAAGGGGTCCCTATGTCCTCCAGCAGCCTAAGCCTATAGCAGCAGAACTATAGAGATAGATCAGGATAACCTGAGCCATTCTAACTAGAAGCTTTATCAAAAAGGAACGTTTTAAGCCTAGCCATAAAAGTACACAGGGTGTCTGCCTCACGGACTAAAACAAAAACAGGAAGCCAATGAAGAGAAGCCAGGATAGGAGAGATATGATCTCTCTTTTTCATTTTCATCAGAAGTCTGGCTGCAGCATTTTGGATCAGCTGAAGGCTTTTTGTGAACTTCCTGATAGTAAAGAATTACTTCAAGGCTGGACTGTTGTAATGGACTAGTTTCTCAGCATCACCCCTGGACAGGAGATTTCTCATTTTTGCAATATTCTGCAGATGAAAAAAGGAAATTCTAGAAACCTCTTTGATCTGGGATTTAAATGCCAGGTCCTGATCAAAAACAACACCAAGATTTTTTACTTTATTATCTGAAATCAGTTTAATCCCATCCAAATGAAGTGACTGACTAATCAGCTTCTTTTTCATAGACTCTGGTCCAAAGACTATAACTTCTGTTTTGTCTGCATTCAGAAGGAGAAAGTTAAGAGTCATCCAGGTTTTTATGTCTTCAGACATGCCTGTAATCTATGTAATGGGTTAGCTTCATCTGGATTATAGACAGATATAGCTGGGTATCATCAGTATAACAGTGGAAATTATTCCCATGCTGTCTAATAACTCTACCGATTGGGAGCATGTATAAAGTAAAGAGAATTGGTCCTAGCACTGATCCCTGTGGTACTCCACAGGTAACCTTTGAGCATGAGGAAGATCTGTCATTAATGTGAACAAACTGAAATCAATCAGATAGATCAGATTTAAACCAATCTAGAGCTGTTCTTAATTCCTAAAAATATAACTCTGGAATGAGGAGTTTTAACTCATAAAAACAGCTCTGTCAAGAGTAATCTTTACCACCTCCAGGAGACAGTTCTTCTGCACAACATCTCAGAAGCCTGGAGCTGATGCTATCTGGACCCGCAGCCTTTCCCAGCTTGATCTTTGGCAGCTCATTCCTCACCTGTTTTGTTGAAGGCATCAAGATGGGGGGGGGGGGGGGGGGGGGGGATTGTGTGATGGAATTCTTTGTGTCCTGGTGAAGATTCTCAGTCATCCTGGTCATAGTTATTCTGAAAAAATTTAAAAGAAATCCAGGGGAATTTGTTTCCAAGTTTGAACATGTTTCTCTTCCCATCCAGGAAGCTTTTTCTATTCAAATGTTAGAAATAGCGTTGAGTTCCAGGCTTTATAGAGTGGACCAAAGCAAAGCCTTGTTTTGGCTTAGAAATCATGCAAATAGAACCTGACGAGCTGGTCCGCCCCTTTGGAATGGGGGGTCGTTCTTTTTCTTTGTTAGCCTGTAATACTCGAAACCTGTCTACATCTCTGAAAGAGGGGTCGTTAGAGGGAATTGTTGGTCTGGCTGAAGAGGAGAGGTGCTCTTGTACCCTATAATGGGGTGGGGGTTTCAATGATAGCAGGAAGGAATCAAGTCTATAGCTGAATTGTAGTTTTTCGAAAGCTGGAATCTGAGTCCACCCTGTGATGATCCTTGCCCTGGAAGTGATTCTGTTCTCAATTAATACTCCGGTTCAGTCTCCACCCTCCTTGTAATTAACCTCTACTGATTTCACCTGTCGCTACCTGCATATAAGCTCCATCCTGATCAGCCTCCAGTGCCAGGTTGTTTCAAGCCAGCCCGATAAGAACTTCCAGTCTTCGGTATCGAAAACCTGTCTGGCTGCCTGCCTGCCAACCGAACTGTCTTTGTCCCCCATTTCTGAGCGTGCCTGATCCCTTTCTGGATTTATCTGCCTGTCTTGCTCTGTAAAATTCTGGATTCCGGATTGACCTCCTGTGCTCCTGACCCTTTTTCTGCCCATGAGTATATGAACCTACCTGCTCCCTTAAAGGGATAGTTCGGTATTTTTGACATGAATCTGTATGGCATCCCCATCACCAGTGGCATGCAATCACACTGACTTACCCCTGGCAGCGTCCTGTGAGCAGAGTTATCGTCCAGTTTTGGTCAAGCCGAAAGTAGTCCGGCAGGTTTTTAGGACCAGCGAAATAAAACGTTTCTCTTCCCAAAACATTATGTGTTCAAAAGAGCGATATTTTTGCATCCCAAAAACATTGTAGTGGAAAAAGTCACACGTCGTTATCAATTGGTCCTATTTTCTCTCTGTTCGTATCAGTGCGCGCCGTCATTCAGACAGCGAGCTCAACAACAGCCAGATGCATGTCTCCCTCCGCCTAGCTCCTAGCTCCGCCTAGCTCCTAGCTATCCCTTTAACTCTCTGTGATAATCAGAAATTGGACCTGGAACTGGAGAAATCTCCTGGATCACCCCCACCCCGTACCCCTGCTGCATTACTGGACCATGTTGTCTGACCTAGACTGCCTCTGGACAAACACCCCAGGAAAGCATGCACAGCCTGTCAGTTTGTCTACCGCTCAATGGCAAGTCCCCGCCAACAAGTGGACGCCTCCAGTCCCCAGAGCCTCCTGTCTCTTTCTGGCTGACTGTTATCAGGTTAGTCTCGGGGGTTAGGAGCTGGGAGGTGTGAAGTAGTCAGTGGTTTGGTTCAGATCATTAACCCACTTCAAGTCTCCAGCTGCCTGGGTGTTCTGACCTTGGCCTGAGATTGTCCAGATCCCTCTAATGTTGTTCTGCTGCAGCTGGTCCTCAACCTTGTTGTAGCTGTTCTTCCCATCCCTGATGTTCTTCCTCAGTTCTTTCTGCACTGCTCTCAGCTCCTCCTTGTTCCTCGATCTAAAGAATCTCCTCTGTTCTTTTAGAAGTGCCTTCATCTCAGGGTGGATCAATCGTTTGTTTTTGGAGAAGTGACAAAATCTTTCTGATAGGCACAGTGTTGTCCACACAGAAATTAATGTAATCGGTGATGCAGTCTGTGATACTATTGATTTCCTGATCATTGGGAGCACATAGATCTTGCCACACAGTATTGAAGAAACCCTTCCTCAGAGCCTCTTCAGACCATCTCCTCACTGTGCGTTTTTTAGCTAGTTCTCTGCGTACCAGGGGTTTGTACACAGGCAGGAAATCAATTACATTATGGTCAGAGGGGAGGGAGAGGTAATGAGCTGCATGCCTCCTTAGTGTTGGCATACAATAGATCCAGTGTTTTACCCCATTTCATCATTCTGCTTCATTCTATCTCTATTCTCCCACTCTGCAGAATCTATTAGTTCAATCTCTAACGTTCTGCTCTCTCTGCTTTTTCTCATAGTAGCTTCATCTGGTCTGTTCCTGTTTGGCTGTGACTCCATCCTGGAGAGAAATATCAGCTGTGCTGCTGCCATCAACACCTTTCTTTCTAGATGTTGGAGCTTGGCCTGTTTTCCAGTGTTGTCCTGTTTCTCTGACTGTGACTAACTGGATGTGCTCTCTTCATCCTCTGACATGGGAGCTGGCTCGGAGCTCGTCTGCCTGGCTGTGTGTTTCCTGGACGGGGCCGCCTTTTACAGTTGCTTTTTCTATGTCTGCTTCAGTCTCCTTGAACC